CAGGGAAAAGGGCGGCATACAAATAAAGGAAACATTCAACATTCAACATTCTCGCTGCTGTTATTCTACAGATACTGCAAAGTCAGCTTAAGTCTTTTTTCCCCCTTTAGCGCCCTTGCTTTCTTCTGCCTTCGAAGTGGGGAAGGAAGTCACCTACCAGCGGTTCCCAAACGATTCGGATTCCGACAGATTTAAAAAAAAAACCACACCTTTTACTGATTTCAAACAATATTGAGCAGGCTATTGAGCAGCCTCCAGAGGCCGGATCATCGACGGCTCAATTCCCTGGCTGGGGCTCTTCTACCCTCCGGCGTGTTTTCAGTCCTAAGGCGCTCTCGGCTTCCAGCTACGCCTCCGCAAGAGGGGGGGAAATAAATAAAATGCCCTCAGCAAAACATGGACGTGTCCTCACAACCTCTTTCGGCGCTCATTCCGGTTTTTAAGTTACTCTTCCCCCCCCCCCCCCCAAAGCTCCTGCGTCGACTCGCGGCTTAGCATCCGCGGACCTGGGCGGTATTCAAGAACCGACGATTTGGTCTGAGCTCAGCCCGGTTTTAACCCCGCCCGCCAGCCAGCCTCTGGAGGGGTCGGGCTCAGGGCGACCTTCCTTTTCACCCGCCCCCTTTTCCCAAGATCGCTCCAAGGCAGGAGGAATGCGCGGCCGCGGCAGCAGAGAGCGCTCGCGGAGCGCGGCCAAGAGGACCGCGGCCCACGCGTTAGCTCCGTTAGCGCCTCCAGGCTCTCCCCGAGGAGGCTTGTTTTTCTCCTCCCTCGCCTCGTGGGCGGCCCCACCTGAAGCTTTGGGGGCGGTACAACGAAGGGGAGCTTCTCGGGGTCTGAACCTCGGTGTTCAGTGCAGGAGCGGCGGCTCGCAACGCGGAGAGAGGGTCGCTTTTTAAGAAGCCGCGGCTCCTTGTTTTCATCGCCTTTCCTCGGCGCACGGCCGCCTTTCCTCACTCGACCGGCGGAGTCGAGCCTTCCTCGTCTAGGCGCTGGGCTGAAAAGCGGCGCGCTCGCCTTTTGGAAAAGCGACTCTCGCCGCGCCGTCCTGGGAGCCCCGGACGGGGAATTTCCCGCCGCCGCCGCAGCCCTTGTCTTTGGAAACTTGGCCTCCGGGGGGTGGCTGGGCTGGTCGTGCCCGAGCGCGCCCTCCTTTCTACTGCGTCGGTGGGGAGCCCCGCTTGGCGACCGAGGAGGTAAGTAGGTGGCGCCTCTCAGCCCGGCGAGCTTTTAAGGAAGACCCGAGGCGAGCGTTGGGGAGGCCGGGTTTGTGGGAGAAAGGAAAGGACTTTCGGGGTGTCCGAAATCACGAATGGGGGGAAGGAAAGGCCCGCTCCCCGCTCTTTTAATAGCAGCGAGCGGGGAAAGAGGCGCGCCGCTGCCGGGCTTGCTGACCCTCCCTTAGCCGTCCCTTAGCGGGGCTGCTCCGTCCCTGGTGCGAAACAGCAAGCCGGGCGTGGGAATAGCAGAAGAAGAAGAAAAAAAAAATGATTTCAGGCGAAGGAAGCCCGAGCGGATTTTTTCTCTCCCCCTCCTTCCTTTCCTTCCTTCCCCTCCTTCCCCGCCTGGCTTTGCTGCTGCTTCTTAACTTCCCAGTTAGAAGAAAGTGTACTGGGAATCATGGATGCTGATTTCGCTTATCTCCAGAAGTGGAAGAGTTTATAACTGATTGGAACTCTTTCTCTTTTGTATCTTTTTGCCGGTCTGCAGCTTGTGGAGAGAATTGGAGAGCCGGGCCAGGGGGCCTCTGGCTTTACCTGGAGCAGAAGCCTGCAGATCAGTGATACCACCACCACCACCCCAACTGGAGGATTACTGGTGCCTGAAGGATAGAAATGATGTGTCTCTGAAATTTGGTGCTGCTTTGGAGAATGGGTAGAAAGTGAGTAGTGTTCTATCTTGAAAGTCTATCTATCTATCTATCTATCTATCTATCTATCTATCTATCTATCTATCTATCTATCTATCTATCTATC